GGAGCTGATGTGCGAGACACCGCACGAGCCACAGGACAAAAGGTGTTTGGTTTTTTTAAATGTCAGAGTGGCTTTGCAACACCTGGACAATGACTGCTTTGATTTTAGGCAGCAGCTCAATACGATGGTGGCAGTGAAGTCAATTCTACTCACTTCACAAGAAGCAGCTGTTTGGCAGAGAGGAAAGAGTTCTTTCAAAAGAGGCTTCAAGCTGTTTATTGTCACTCCCAGTTGAAGTTTCCTGTCAAACTAAACAAAAAACAAAGACATTTGCACGTTGTGTCGTAAAACAGCCACAGCTTTTCCTTAGGAAGATTAATGCAAGCAAATAATGCAAAATGGCATCGACATGCTCACAGTTAGCATCAATAGTTACGGTTTTAGAAGCAACGGATATTTGAACACACGCAGTGGTGTAAGGTGTCGATAGATTATATCACAATACCTGCATATATTCTTTATCCTCTATGATAAATGATCAATCTCACTGAATTACTCAGAGTAGTGTTAGTAGAAGTAGTACTAGATTTCGGGCATTTCTGTTCATATCAATAGGGAAGGATGACTTGAGATACGAGTGTTATGAATTAAGTTAAACTCCTTGTATCTGAAGGCATCACTGTACATCAACTCCCTTAAAAGAGACATTCATGCATTTTTTTCCACAAGTGAGCCACTCAGAACTAGAGTAGTCTAACTCAATTTTTGTCATTTTGCAGGAGAGTGATTTAAAGTTTTATGGCGGCAATAAAATCTGAGGGAATTTCATAGCTTGGTGATTTATATGGCAATGGTTGATCCTAGTTGATTTTATTTAACTTTATTCTAATTTAAATTATTTTTCCTCAGATTTTGTTTTGCCAATTGAAAAAATAGGTTAAGTCAAATAACATTTGTTAAATCATTAAATAATTGAATAAACTAATTAAAAAAAAATCATAAACATGTACCGGGTATTTATTTAGTACTTTGTAATTAGTTGAATAAAATAGAAAAGTGCAATAGCGGTCTAAGTCTCAGCATATTAGTTGGATCCGAGTGTGTTTACAATACTATTGTATGAAAAACAACCGTAATAAACCCTCCCATGGAAAATGAGCACACAAAGTAACAACACAGTATAAAGCAGTACATTTCTTACTGTGCGTTTAGGGTGACCCCACCCCTCAATCCCCGTTTTTTCTTCAGTGACAGAGCAGAGGTGACAAGTCAGTGGTCAATACTGAGCCGGTGGTGGTGGTGTCAAGTCCCAGGGGCGCACTTGTAACACCTCTCTCATACAACGTTGTCAATATTCTCAACTTTTTGTCACTCGGCCCAACGCGTGCCCTCGGGCCGCCGCGCTGCATGGCCACAGTTCTTACACTGATTGCTTTCTCTCTGCTCTTTATGCTGGAACACAGTCACACAAGAGCTGGGGGACGGACACACATGCACGCACGCACGCACACACACGCACAGAGGACAGATACCTTCAGATATGCTCTTGAATTCATATTAGAGTTTCTCTTGAAGGGTCTATATATATATATATATATATATATATATATATATATATATATATATAAAAAACCATATTTCCAAACAGCTTTCCACATTTGGCTTTTGACAGCAAATGACAGGCAATTACCAGCATTTAATATGTTTTATTGTGAGGTTTCAAGGTCTTTGCAGCACTTGGTTTGAACGACAGATGAAATATCGTTCACCAGATTTTCCTTCATCGTCTTGCTCCTCGGCATATGACATGTATCCAAACTGAAATCATCAGTGAATACTAAACCCTTAAATTGCTGGGTTAAGTTGAACCCAATATGGGTTCAAATAAACCAATAGCTTCTTCTTCTTCTTCTTCTCCTTTCGGCACACCCCTTTTCAGGGGTCGCCACAGCGAGTCATTAATTCCCATCCGTCCCTGCAAACTGCCCTATCAACTCGCATGTCCGTCTTGGCAAAAGTTTTACGCCGGATGCCCTTCCTGACGCAACCCTCCCCATTTCTCCGGGCTTGGGACCGGCACCGGGGAACAGTGTACCCCCAGGGGAGGGCACTGCCCCCCAGTGGCTGGGAAATAAACCAATAGCTTAGTGTATAAAAATATACGGTATCCCCTTGACGAACACATTTTTGCACATTTGAAATGGACGAACTGTGTAAAAAACATGCAAAACGTCTTGTACTATGTTAATGGAAATGGCATTCATACGGTATATGAAGAGAGCTAAAGGACTTCCTGGTTATGTAAACGCTGAAACGACAATGGTCCGCCTACATTTAGACTCGCCTATGAAAACAAGTCAATACGTGTGTGCTTGTACCAATCCGATGCTAATAATTCACAGCCGCTTATCGCCTTCTCAGCATCGTGTCAATTGTTTCATGCGCCTCCCGATACAATCGCCACTGTTGCTTGTTGGAGATAAACAGCCAGCAATATTAAACACCTCCATATCTAAACCTCTTTTCAAGTCACACACCCCTCAGCACATTCTTTATACAAGATGGGAGAAACGGGATTCAAAAGTGAATTGACACAAAACCTGACTGAATGACAAAGTGGCCAGGAAATAAAACTAAGTCATATCATACACCTAATATCCTTTTTGTGGTTCTGCATGTGATGACACGAGAGTTCTCCCGCTGAGGATTGGATTCTTGACTGGAGGAGGGGAAGAGAATCTTTAGTTGTGTGAAGACTGTGTTGAGATTATCTGAGCAACCCACACACACAATATAAGTGTCCGATTTATCATCTTTGTGCGTGGTGTCTGCCAAAGATAAAACATCTTTGACGATTCAAAAAACATCCATCCGTTTTCAACACCGCTTATCCTGAACAGGGTCGCGGGGAGTTGCTGGAGCCTATCCCAGATGACTTTGTGCGGAAGGCAGACTACACCCTGAACTGGTCGCCAGTCAGTCGCAGGGCACATACAGAGAGATACGACCATTCACACCCACATTCACACCACCGCTGAGTGGGAACCGATCCCACGCTACCCGCACACAATTCCGGTGTGTGTACCATCAGCGACCTGATTCGAAAAACATGTCGCCGAAAAACAAGCGCGTGTATCCTGCCGAAACTTACTAAGCTCCTCAAAGAAAAGTTAGACAAAATCACAGTTCAACCAAAATCATCTTAACTTGAGATCATCCTAAAGCTAAAACAAGTTCAAGTAAGCTAAGAAAAACAATCTTATCAAAGAAAAGTTGAACTCATCTCAGATAAACTAAAGCCCAAATTGCCTGTGAAGCATTTCTGCCATGCAGTGGATGCTATTATTGTGGCTGACATTCACCCTCTTCATCTGCTCCTTCCTGATCTGACCTAAATCTCCTCCTTTTCTTCCATGGTGATGGCAATCACACACACCTAAGCGCTGATAATCACTGCACACCAGACACACACACACACACACGCACACACAATTTATCTGCCATCACAGCTGCAATTCATTGTGAGCTGCTGAATGAATAGTGGAGAGACTGGGGGGGGCACGCTGGTGGTGGTGTGGCAGGGTGTTGGACGTATTAATAGCAGCCCCTCACTCTCCTTTTCCTTCCCTCCACTTTTCTCCAGCTGCCATCTGAATTCAAGAACATCTCAATGTGTCCACTCTGAATGGAGTGAACGGCAGCTGGAAAAGATGATGGAATAAATGAGCCGGCTCCAAAAGTGTCCATCTGAAGGAAATCCGAGTGAGTTCATGTCTTCAAAACCAAAAGAAAGTGACGAATGTCATGTCAATGCAGCCGCTGTGACTGAAAATAGTCAATTTGGGATGTTATTAAAACTCATTCACTCCCACAGACACATTTATGTCTTTTCACAGTCCACACGTTCAACCCCGAATACTTATTTTTTTCAAATTTTTTCAAGACTTAAGGTAAAAAAAAAAAAGGGGGGTCTAGAATTGGCTGGTACTGAATGAAATTGGAAAAAAAAAGTATCTGGGGTTGAACATGTGCAGTGTGAAAAGACATATAGATATGTCTTTGGGAGTGAATGAGTTAAGCAGCACCTAGCTTAATTTTTTTGTGAATTAAAACACACCGACATGCATAGAAAACACACAATCCATGTCGCTTTCTATGCGTACTGTAACTACATGAATGCACTTCAATATAAAGTATGCATAACTATCCATCCATCCATTTTCTAATCCGCTTATCCTCACGAGGGTCGCGGGCGTGCTGGAGCCTATCCCAGCTGTCGACGGGCAGTAGGTGGCGGACACCCTGAAATGGTTGCCAGCCAATCGCAGGGCACACACAGACGAACAACCATCCATGCTCACACTCACACCTAAGGACAATTTCGAGTGTTCAATCAGCCTGCCATGCATGTTTTTGGAATGTGGGAGGAAACCGGATTGTGAATCTGAGCGCGAATGGGTTGTTCGTCTATGTGTGCCCTGCGATTGGCTGGCAACCATTTCAGGGTGTCCGCCACCTACTGCCCGTCGACAGCTGGGATAGGCTCCAGCACGCCCGCGACCCTCGTGAGGATAAGCGGATTAGAAAATGGATGGATGGATGCATGTGTGCACAGGGACGCCAACCCCCACCCCAGTGTGAGGGTCCGGCGTGGGCACGGAGCTCCAGTGTAGTGGGACTTCATGTTGATACTCACGCTCCGGTGAGTGTCTTTGTCCAGCTGCCATTCATCATGCAATCCTCATTGGCCTACATACTGTCATCATCGTATCATACCGCACAGAATATGCACAACACATCAAACTCTAAAATATGAACAGAGTAGTTGACTTCATGAATATAGAGTTGGACAGAGGATTTCTACCTGCCACCCTCCCCCCCAACACACACACACACACACACACACACACACACACACACACACACACACACGCACACACACACACAAATAATGTGCCCAAGCTGTATAATACCTGTTATTACTGAAATTGCCTCCAATTTGTTGCCAGGGTGATTGGTGCTCGCCTCTTTTTTAAGCATTGTGCCTCCTCAGAGTGGGAGCACACAGTACTCAGCATTGTGTGTGTGTGTGTGTGTGTGTGTGTGTGTGTGTGTGTGTGTGTGTGTGTGTGTGTGTGTGTGTGTGTAGTCTGCAAGGCAGTGACCTGGTAATAGTAAACGTAACCACAGGCCCTATTCCAAGATAGTTGCCATGGTGACAATAATTGGGTGACAGAGCAGCACACACACACACACACACACGCACACACACACACACACACACACACACACACATAATA